GTAACTCCAATCCACTGACTAATGGTCAAAAATGAAACAAAATTGTTCATTGTGTAATAAAAATGATTAATTAGCTAACAGATAAACGTTTTTCAGTGTTTATATATTTTCAAATTTTAAGAATATGTGAGACGTTTAAAAAAATTTAAGGCACGTTTATGTATGCCCAATATGTGTAGAAGTACATTCACGATTATCAAGCTGAACAGTGGGATGGTACATGCGTTTACTTCTGACTAATTTGGTGATTGGACTAGCTAACAGGTAATAATCCTAGTTAGCGAATCTTGTTATAAAGAAAGGATTACCTAAACGTCCCATCTATCTAAAACAGTAGAATTTTTCAAATTGTACTGACATCTTTTAAAGAACCAATCCGTAAGGTGAAATGATGCAATTAAATATAGTAATTCTCATCTCTGTCTCAGTTCAATTTTGACGTTAAAAATATTAGTTCAGCATATTATTATTATTATTATTATTATTAGTCCCTTGGGTTCCTAGTGGAACATAGGGCTTCAGTAGCACGTCTCCAGTGACCTCTGTTCTCTGAGATCTTTTGAACCTGGTTCCACGACAGCCCAGAAGCTCTCATTTCCTCCTCGCACGATCTCCTCCATGTCACCCTCGGACGTCCAACTCGTCGCTTCCCATGGGGATTCTACTTGAGGGCCTGACACGTGATGTCCCCAGTCGGCCTTCTCAGTGCATGGCCAATCCATCTCCACTTCCTCCTGCATATTTGTTGCGTGATAGGTTCTTGGTTGGTTCGTTCCCAGAGCTCCTGGTTGATTATTCTTTCTGGCCATCTGATCTTCAGTAGCGAGCGTAAGCAGTTGTTGATGAATGTCTGTAGTTTATTGGAAATACCTTTCGTGACGCGCCAAGTCTCTGAGCCATACAGAAGCACTGACTTGACGTTGGTGTTGAAAATCCGTATCTTGTTCCACATGCTGAGTGCAGAAGATCTCCACACTGGTTTCAGGCTAATGAACGCCTGTCTTGCTTTTCCGATTCCGATTCTGACTTTGACGTCCTCGTCCGTCCCGCCTGTAGTTGAAACAGTGCTTCCTAGATAAGTGAAGGAGGTTACTTCCTTCAAGTTTCTCCCGTTGACGGTGATTGGAGTTTGTTGTTGTTGTTGATGGTGGTGGTGCGGTATCTTCATCACTTCTGTCTTCTCTATATTCACCTGAAGTCCCGTCTTAGCTGCCTCTTCTATCAACTTGTTAGTTTTTGCCTGCAGATCTTCAAGTTTATGTGACATTAGGCATAAGTCATCGGCGAAATCCAAGTCTTCTAGGTTCTTTTCCGTCGTCCAGTGTATCCCCCTCTTCTCGCTGCCCACTGTTTGCTGCATGATCCAGTCCACCACAATCAGGAATATCATGGGGGATAGTAGGCAACCTTGTTTCACTCCTGTCTTCACTTCGAAAGCATCACTGAGCTTCCCATTGTGAATTACTTGGCATGTGGCATCTTCATATAGTTGTTGAATGAGGCGGATAAAGGTTTGCGGTACTCCGTAGTATTGAAGCAGTTTCCAAATTACTTCTCGGTCGACGCTGTCAAAGGCCTTCTCAAAGTCGATGAAGTTGAGGTAGAGAGCTGATTGCCATTCTATGCTCTGTTCTATGATGATGCGAAGCGTTGCAATTTGGTCTGCACATGATTTGTACTTCCTGAAGCCTGCCTGTTCCGGTCGCAGTTTTGAATCCAGTGCGTCTTTAAGCCTCTCTAGGATGATGCGGCTTAATATTTTGCTTGAAGTGGGTGGACAGGAGAGTGATTCCACGCCAGTTCTTGCAAGCACTGAGGTCTCCCTTCTTCGGCAGTTTGACAAGGTAACCCTTCTTCCAATCGTCAGGTACCTTCTCTTCCTTCCACACCTTCTGCAATAGTGTGGTGTGAGCATGTCCGCTGTTGTCTCTGTGTCTGTTCTCAGTGCTTCTGGCGGTATTCCATCTGGTCCTGCTGCTTTCCCGCATTTCAGTAGCTTTATGGCGTTCAGGACTTCCATTTTCGTTGGAGGATTTATGTTCACTTGTAGTTCTGTGGCTGCAGGTGGTATTTCTGGACGAAGTGCAGGTGGTGGTAGATTCAAGAGTTTTTTGAAGTGGTCGGCCCATTGTTTCCTTTGTTTCTCTTCTTTTGTAATTAAATTTCCTTCTTCATCTTTTATTGGTTTCATCTGTGTTGATCTCTTCCGTCAGATAGCAACCTGGTTATTTGATACAATGTTGTCAGGTCTCTTACCTGCAGCCTGTTCTGCTTCGCTTGCCAATGTGTCGTAGAAGTGTCTTTTGTCTTTGCGTGCACTCTTCTTTACTTCTTTATCCAGTGTTTTATACATTGTGCTCAGTTCCTCTTGTCGTTGAGCATCCTTGCACTGGTTTGTCCTCTGCTTCACCATCCTCCTCTCCCACCTCTATCAGCTTCCATGTATCCGTCGAGATCCATTCCTTATCTTCTTTCTTCTTCCTTCCTAATACGGCTGTGCAGGTTTCTCTCCACATAGCTTTCAAAGACTTCCAGTGTTCTTCCACACAGGTTTCTTCAGGGATGTTCCTCTATATCTCCCATTTTGTCTTGATGGCTGCCTTGAAGATCTCCTTTGTAGTTTCATCCTTCAGTTTCCGAGTGTTGTACTTGAATTGAGGTCTATCACCAGCTTCCTTGAAGGCTTTTAACTTGATTTGGAAGGTTCCTTGGACTAGACAGTGAGTGGTGTGAACCTACATCTGCTCCTCTTCTTGACCTTGTGTTAAGTAGACTGCATCTCCATTTTCTCGAGATTGAGATAAAGTCGATTTGATTTTTAGTGTGTCCATCTGGTGAAGTCCATGTCGCTTTGTGGATATCCTTGTGCCTGAACACACTGCCTCCAATCACCAAATCGTTGAATGCGCAGAATTCTGCAAACAATTCTCCATTCTCATTCATTTCACCTAGCGCCTCTCGACCCATGGTTAGTTCTCTTCCTGTGTTGTCCCCTCCCAGTTTGGCATTCATGTCACCCATTAGAATTTTGATATCGCCAACTTAGGTCTTGTCCAGTGTTGATTGAAGTTGTCTGTAGAATTCCTCCTTTTTCTCTTGCTCTGCATTATTTGTAGGTGTGTAGTGTAGCATTGTATGATTGTGACCTTCCTTCCTTTTGAGTTGAATCTTGCTGTCATGATCCTGATTCGGAGGAGATTGGTTCCCACTGCATGAGAGCCTTCGATGCTCTTGTGGGGACATCATGATAGCCACTCCATAACTCAGTGTGCTCGTGGTTGTCGTCTGGGTGACCGGAGCAGATTATTGATTCTGCAGTTGATAGTTTGGAGAGTCCACTCGCATTCCATCTGCTTTCGCAAATCCCAAGCACTTCAATGTGATACCTTCTCATCTCCTTTGCAATCTGGGCTGCCTTACTGGGTTCAAACATCGTACGGACATTCCATGTCCCCACGTTTACTTTCGCTTTCATCGAGGGAGAGAAGACACATCGGCCAATTGGCTTCCCGAAGGCAGGCTTTCACCAACTGGCGTCATTTCGCCTCTCCGATTCCAGTGAGGAATAAGTTTGTTTTCATTTTTTTTATTTTGTTTGTGCTTTGAATTTTCTTTAGTGGTTAGATTTGTTTTACGGGGTAGGGTTGCTAGCCCTATGCCCAACCTTCCCTCTTTATGTGGGCTTAGGACCAGCTAGTAACTAGTGAACTAGTTAACCAGGCGAGGTTAGTTGAGCATATTGAGTCGGCTTAATTTCAAATGGTGATATTAAAAAGGATTAGATTCCAGTTAACGGAATGTGACGTAGCATGAATTCAGGTGGCAACCAAAAAAACCTTTTGTGATTAAAATGAAAAGCTGGTCAGCAGCCGGGTCTCATACAGCTAGACCTGGTACAGCGCGGAGAAACAACCAAAAGGTCATCACCCTGCATTTAGAGGTATGTATAGGTATACAAAGTAGAAGGCTTCTTGAACAAACTAAGTAGGAAAGAAAAATATAGTAGTAATACTTACTAACACACCATAGGGAAAAACCTTATAAACATAAAGTAATGAAGATATTGGAAACTTGATGTCATCACTAACTTCACTAGAGCTGATTTTACATGATACATACAACTTCGGGTATATAGCAGAACAATCAAGCTGCACAAAAGTGGATGCCAAGCCCCTACTGTGTTGCCATGGTAGCTAGGCTTCACAAAATTGCTTGGTAGAATATGCTGTAATGCTTAAATTTACGTAGCGTTTAACCTACTTTCTACCTTAAGAACAAGTTTTTTATCCTTTTATTTCCTAGTGCACTAACGAGTTAATGAAATTTGTTTTACAAAACCCCTTACTATATTTTCGGGGCCAATTATGTGGATCGAAGTACATGTCCATTCAGTTACTCACGCCACAAAATCTAAGAGGGAACGTGGAAACTGCTATGCACTCCTACTTACGCAACACACTGAAACCGATTGACGGTTCCTATAACAAACATGTTTGGATGAAGGGAGAGAGAGAGAAAGATAAC